CCTATGTCACCCTCAGTTGCCATGGCATCACAGCTCACAGCAACCTCCAACTCTTGGGCTTAAGTGATTCTATTTCCTCAATTTTTTTTAACGGTAAAGTTGTGAGGAATTAGTTATTATGAACAGAAAGTGAAATAAGCATTCATTCAATGTGTATTTATGAAAACTGAAGGCATATTTATAGCTTTCAATTTTAATTTTCCAAACTCTCTTCCCATTATTTTCTATCACAGATGATTTTAAATGGTGTTTAAGGTTATTTTTAATAAGTTTCTTCCTGTTTACAAATATTTATGGGAGAGGACAACAGCAATTTAGGTTTACTGCTGAAAATAGAGAAAATATGAAGAAAATAAAAATCATTCATAATATCATCCAGAAACAACTATTTTTAACACTTTTGATGTATAACTTCCAGTTTTAACTTTCTATTTAAATGTCAGCATACTGAAAGAATAACTCAAAAATACAAGAACATAAGAAAACCAAAATGTATCCAATGTCCCAAATTCCCAAATACACTTACAGTTTTGTCTTCAATAAAGGTAAGATTTGTTCCATTCTCCTTAGCCTTTAAACATTAAAAAAAAACATTAAAAAAAAGAAAATTCAGAACTTTGTTTTAACCTCTAGCACTCCTCCAGCAGCTACATCCCCAAAAGCAGCACTCCTTCCCCAGAGATACAGTTCCCAAGCTGCCAGAATTTTCCTTTACTCTCAGAAATACATAATAAAAACAATTACCTCCTGTTTTTCTCCTAAAAGAGGCAGTCGATGCATGAAATCCCCAGAAAAGCTCTACAAAAGAAAATTAAAATTGAAGATGTATAAATAGTAAAAGAAAAATGTAGCTCAAAATACACAGGACCAGTTAAAGGAAAGCATGACACCACAGCAGAAAGTATATGTAATAAGAAAGCATCAGCAGACAAAAGGCTTCCAGGCTGGGTATAATAGCTCACATCTGTATTCCATCATTTTGGGAGGCTGAGACAGGAGAATTGTTTGAGGCCAAGAGTTCAAGACCAGCCTAAGGAACAGAGCAAAATCCTCCCACCCAAATCGATAAAACATAAAAAATTAGCGCAACATGGTGGCACATGCCTCTAGTCTTAGCTACTTGGGAGGCTAAGGCAGGAGGACTGCTTGAGCCCAGAAGTTTGAGGCTACAGTGAGCTATGATGATGCCACTACACTCTAACCTGGACAACAGAGTGAGACCTTATCTCCAAAAAGGAAAAAGATCTAAATCAACCACAAACAAGTGAATAAAACCCTACTGTCCACTGTTTCTTCCACTATAACCCGTT